GGCCACTTGGCCGACGTCCCAAAATTATAACTCCACCTCATGTTTTTCTATTATTTTTCACTTCCGTTTCGCCAAACTTTTTTATTGTGCTAACATCCTACTTCTCAAGGGGACAGTATGATAGAAAATGCTGTCTGACTTTTTAAAAGGTCAGGTCGTCGCAAAAACTACTAATTAGGCAATCGCACAAGATTTTGACCAAATTCACGAGGAGCTCGAGAATTTTTTCAGGGATTTTACATGATATGGAGTTGAGAAGAGCTCCAAAGGATCTCCCCTTGCTTTTCGATAGAAACAAAGGCCGTGTCACAGAAGAAACATCCTTTTTTATAAGCCGTGCTCTGCCATCAAATCTTCTTCGAAACTTAATGTCTCAACGGAACAATGTTTTTTGCTTGCGAATGAATCCCAAGTTGATTCTCGAGTGGAAAACGTGGAAGGCATCATCTGTGGCAGAAAACCATGGCGAAAATTGAGCCCATTTTCAGAAAGATGCAACGGAGCCGACTGGAGTAAGGTTCGCTTTTGCTTGATATGTTTTAGCATTTGTTTGTTTTTCTTTTCGTGCTTTTCTCATCCTTAGTAGCTTTTCTCTTCGCGAAGCACTACCAGGAGAAAGAAAATGGTGAAGAGAAAGACGGACAAACAGTAGTGCAACAAAAGCGACCGTAGTCCAGTCGGCTCCGCTGCATCTTTATGCAAAATTCAGCTGAATTTTCGCCACGGTTTCTGCCACAGATGATGCCTTCCACGTTTTCCACTCAAGAATCAACTTGGGATTATTCGCAAGCAAAAACATTGTTCCGTTGAGACATTAAGTTCCGAAGAAGATTTGATGGCAGAGCACGGCTTCTAAAAAAGGATGTTTCTTCTGTGACACGGCCTTTGTTTCTATCGAAAAGCAAGGAGAGATCCTTGGAGCTCTTCTCAACTCCATATCATGTAAAATCCCTGAAAAATTCTCGAGCTCCTCGTGAATTTGGTCAAAATCTTGTGCGATTGCCTAATTAGTAGTTTTTGCGACGACCTGACCTTTTAAAAAGTCAGACAGCATTTTCTATCATACTGTCCCCTTGAGAAGTAGGATGTTAGCACAATAAAAAAGTTTGGCGAAACGGAAGTGAAAAATAATAGAAAAACATGAGGTGGAGTTATAATTTTGGGACGTCGGCTAAGTGGCCTTTTGAACAAAAATTATTAGAAAAAATTCCTGGGATCTCAAGTTGGAAGTTGATGTTTAATTTCGTATTTGCATTTGAACACACTGCCACATTGGGACTTTTTCTAAAACATCTTAGCATTTGTGAGATTTTCCGCAGATTATTAAGAGTTATAATTATGGGACGCAGTGTACTTTTAGAATCGAACCTTTTTTGCATGGCTTCTTTTTCCTGGTGGGTGGTTTGAAGTGTTCCACCGTGCGATACTGAATTCTCATCATTTCAGGTCAGCGTTTTGCTATCATGGAAGAGAAGTGTATTCTTGCACTACTAATGCGGCATCTGCGTGTTCGTGCGCTACTCCGCACAGACGAGATGCGTGTTGCTGCAGAGCTCATCATCCGACCGCTCTACGGGAATCGGATAAAATTGGAGAAGAGGGATTATGGTGACTACGCACATTGTAGCCCGTAACACCGCTTCCGAACGATTCTTTTTTCTTCGATGAAACGCCTTGCTCTCATATTCGCAATAGTTTTCAGATCCTTATGCGCTTGTATTTCCCCACTGTGATAGTAGTGCCACTTTCATACTTTGCGCTGTTGCGGAAATTGCGGTCCGTGCGGACGGTGTGGAGAGAATGAAGAACGTCAACTCTCGTCCGCACTGCCCGCAGGGACCGAAACGTCCGCAGCGGCGCAAAGAAAACAGCATTATATTTTTCTTTGCCGAGCAGAACTTGCCAAAGAGAAGTCCTCTTCATATAGATTCTTGATTGAGTTTGGAGACATACTTGTTTTTGGCAGGGTTCATCTGTTCAAAATTTTGTGAATATTGTTGCAGTTTGTGTATTCCAACGAAGACGCTCTCGTGTGTGGGAAAGCGAACGCTTTAGAGCGCATGAGAATTTGACCTTCAAGCAATTTCCCGCTAGATGCTCCCCATTTTCTATTGCTTACCGTATTAAATTGTTTCGCGAGTATTTTCAATTTTCTCACGAATCCCTTCAGAAACTGTAGTCATTACACTTTACCTGAATTTATGCTATTACCATGTGATCTTATGAAATGACTCTTTCCAACTTCTAAGTGATGCACATTTTTTGCTTTTCTGTGATTCCGAAAAAAACTGATAATATGTATAACTCTTTGTTTTTCCTACAGGATCTTGTCTGAGTTTTTTCTTTCTGCAATAACTTTATTAACCGTTTGCAGGAATCGCTCTTGTACTGCGGTAAAGGAAAAGTGTCAACGTTCTTCTTATTGAATAAACTTACTTGTCTGAAAGCACGTACTCATGTAGTACGTACTTGTCTAACAAAGCTCATGTTCCTTCGTGCACAGTACGTGACGACAATGTTCACGAAGTGATGTTGACAAGACAGGAATAGAACAGACCATAAACAATTCTATATCTATGTACTAGCTACTACTAATTAATTAATCAATGTAATTCTCAGATAGGTGCAGCACCAGTCATGCGGCCCTAAAAAGGTCCTGGTTGATCAAAGTAGGGCTGGAGTACGAAGTTCGATCCTTTCGATGAGTGCCCCAACGACGTTATCGTCCCTCGTCTCTCCCTCTCCCCCTTCCCCCAACCATGATCAAAGTAGGGCTAGAGAGAATACTCATTCAAATTTCATCGGGATGTATTCCATTATCTTAAGGATGTCAGCTAATAGTTCTCCCTCAACTGTTGCTAACCCTTCTCCCTCTCGTTTTTGTTGTTGGATCCATTGTTTTATCTGACGGTTAGTTGCTTTACTTTATTTATTATTTAGGTCGATTTGCAAGTTTTCTACTTATGGTGTTCTGGAATTGGTTTTGTTGTTTTATAATAGTATAGTTGTTTTATAATTTTTTTGGAAGCTCCTTCACATGTCTACTTAGATGTGTAAT